AAGATGATCCACTGACCAACACTGTTAAAGTTTACCACCCGCAAAGTGATCAGGAAAAAACAAGCTGTTTTCATTCTGCAGGTCAACTGGTCCAGTCCTATTTCACGCCACTCAACGTGAATGACAAACGGCGCAAACAACAGCCCATCAAAAAATAAAATACCACAAAGAAAGAAAGGGCAGCCAACACAAGTGGCAGCTTTTAAATCAAGAAGATGGTGTCTAAAACTTCCTTGATGTACGACCATAATTGAGCCCAACATTTCTGTTGCTAAGCCACACGGTTGTTAAGTGAGTTTTGCCCCATTTTGCGACCTTCCTTGTCAAAGTTGTTAAGTGAATCACCACAGTGATTTAGGTAGTCACACGATTGTTAAATGAATCAGGTTTCCTCACTGACTTTGCCTTGTCAGAAGGTCGCAAAAGGGGAATCACACAATCATCATAAATATGAATCAGCTGCTAAATGTCTGGATTTTGACCACGTGACCATGGGGATGCTGAAAACAGTCATAAATACGAAAATCAAGTCAAAAGTCACCTTTTCCAGTGCCATTGTAACTTCAAACAGTCACTAAATGGAGTGTTGTAAATTGAGGACTATCTCTGTGCAGGCAGTCTACCTCATGGTGAAAAATGAGGATGATGAATGGTATTTCAAGCTCCTTGCGGGGAAGATTAAAAGATAAAAAGCCAAGGGCGTGTCTTCAGTTTAGTGTAGTTTTAGTTTTAGTTTAGTTTAGTCATTGCACCTCGTACAATGAGATTAAATACCATTTTCAGTGTACATTATAACTATGAAAATAAACACAAATACACATCCTTCACATTCTATACATTGAATTTTAAAAACCCCTGATATTGCATTCATATTGCACTATACAGTAGAATTCCATAGAGTTCCTGCCCTGGGATAGAAGCTGTTTTTCAGCCTATCTGTCCTTGTTTTTATTATCCTGTACCATCTGTCAGATGGCAATAGTTCAAAAAAAAAAAAAGGGTGCCCAGGATGAGATGGATCTTCTGTGGCTTATTTGTCTGTTAGTTTGCAGGCTGGCTGGGGAATTCTGGGAGTTGAAGTCCGCAAGTCTTAAAGTCGCCACGTTTGAAGACCCCTGGAGTAACTTAACTGGAGCGATTCCCTCATACAACTGTGGCAAGACCAAGACTCCCAACCAATCAGGATGAAGAAAAAACCACTCTGGCACAGCAGTAGGCTAGCCCCAAATTTAAAACTGAAACAACTGTAAAAGTCTGACTCACATACGAACGCAATACAGAAGCCTGATGATGGCAGATGAGATTCTGCCGAAACGTTGCTACAACTTTAAAAGCACAACTATAATGACGTGGGAAAATACCCGAACAAAGCTGAATATCATATATATGTATATGTGTGTGTGTGTGTGTGTGTGTATGTGTATGTGTATGTGTATGTGTATGTGTATGTGTATGTGTATGTATGTATGTATGTATGTATGTATGTATGTATGTATGTATGTATAAAATCAAGGACAACTCATTTAATGACCGCTTTGCTTAGTGATGGAAGTTCTGGTCCCAACTGTAGACGTAACTTGAGGACTGTGTGTATCAACATATACCATAAACCTCCAAAGTGGGCTTCTCCAGACATCTAAAAAATGAGCCACCCTTCATCAGGATTTCTGGCAGACAAATAATTATCTCCTCTTTTGCTTTGAGCTATGTCTATGGAGATTCTCAATCCTCCCTGTCATGGTTGTCCCAAAGGTGCTTTTTCCAAATAGCAACTGGACTTTCTTGGTTTTTTTTTTTTTCCTTTGAAAATGTTTCGCTTCTCATCCAAGAACCTCCTTCACTTCACTTCAGAACTGAAGAAGCTTCTTGGATGAGAAGCAAAACGTTTTCAAAGAAAATACAATGCTAGGCTGCCTCAACAGAGGGATAGAATCAAGACCACAAGAAGTGATGCTACGGTTTTTATAATGCCTTGGTAAGATCACACTTGGAATACTGCAACCAATTTTGGTCACCCCAATATAAAAAAAGATCTTTTGAGACTCTGGAAAAAGTGTGAAGAAGAGCAACAAAGATGATTTAGGGGACTGGAGGCTAAAACATATAAAGAACGGTTGCTAGAATTGGGTATATCTAGTTTAATGAAAAGAAGGGCTAAGGGAGACATGATAGAAGTGTTCCAATATTTGAGGGGCTGCCACAAAGAAGAGGGGGCCCAACCTATTTTCCAAAGCACCAGGAGGCAAGACAAAAAAAGCAAGGGATGGAAAGTGAAGAAAGAGAGAAGTAACCTAGAACTAAGGAGAAATTTCCTAAGACTGAGAACCTGTGGAACAATTTGCCTTCAGAAGTTGTGGGTGCTCCAACACTGAAGGCTTTTAAGAAGGGACTGGATGACATTGTGTAAAATGGTATAGGGACTCCTGCTTGTGCAGGGGGGGTTGGACTAGAAAACCTCCAAGGTCCCTTCCAACTTAGTTATTCTGCAAAACAAAGTTCAGTTGCCTTTTTTTTTGGGGGGGGGGGGGAACCACCCTTGGGACATTGCTTGGAGCGGGTGTTTGGCATAACATGGTATGTCCCCTGCAGTTCCCCCACCCAGGCTTATCCCATTCCAGCATCTGCAACAGCCCTTGGATGGTCTTCTTCCACAACCCCAAGGACAACACTGGGCCAGAAAGGAAAGCTGGTTGGTGAGAAGTAAAAAGTGATTTCTACCCAAATCTTTCTTCCAATACACAGCAACTGATCCTGGGGGGGGGGGGGGGGGTAAAGATCAACAGAGCTGCTCTTTACGCCCAAATCTGGCCGTTGTGCCCCGGTCCAAATGCGGCATTGGGAGCATTGGGCCCAGCAGGGCGGGAGGGGGGGGGGGGGTTGCTCATCCTCCGCAGCAGAACACAATCCAAAGATACCCGAGATAGCTATTTATACGAGGCTCCCGAGAGACTGGCTGCAATAGTTATTTAAAGTTCGTCAAGGCGGGGCTGTGTGTGGGAGGGGGGGGGG